AGGATATCTTATCTAAGAATGGATACCCTGAGAAGTTCATTAATAAATACTCTAAAGAAAACACCCGCTGCAAAACAATCCAAACAGTTCCGAAGAAACCTGTCTACATCAACTTGCCGTTCAAAGGAGATGATGTACAGGAAGTAGTCAAACGAAGACTCGACAAAGCCATCAAGAGAACTTATTATGCTGCAAAACTTGTTTTCCTTAACACCACTAAGCGAGTGCTTCAACAATCTGGGAAAGACCAGTCGCCAATCCTCGACACTTCAAACTGCGTATATCAATTTGAGTGTGTTTGTGGAAGCAAATACATAGGTCGTACGGAAAGGAGATTGTCTACTCGCATGATGGAGCATTTGCCAAAATGGTTGAAAACAGCTGAGTTCAAAGTGCCAAAATCCTCAATAACAAAGCATCTTGTGGATTACGGGCATGATATCGACGCAGTCAAGTCATTCACCATTGTCAGCAGACAAAGAAACAAGAAGATGCTTGCAATTGCAGAGGCTTGTGCAATTCGAGTTTACAAACCAGGTCTCTGTGTGCAAAAGGAGATGGTCGTGACTCTGAATCTACCATGGTAATACGTTTTACTTACAATTCTACCTCTTATTATTTTATTATTATTATTATTCTTGATTCATTTAAAACTATCCTTTATCAGTAGCATTATCTTAACCCACTTCAACACTATTATTATTATTGTTATTATAACTATTACTATTGACATCCCGCTGGTTGCAATTCTTGTTAAATTCTTTAATGTCTAATTGTTTATCTAAGTGATGTAATTGAAGCGTAATGCAATTTATCTTAATTTTGATCTCCCATACTCTCTCTCCCCTTATCTAATTGCACATGACCTGGAAAAACATTCGCACCTGTCTTTCTGCATGACTAATTCAATGTAGTTTATTTACTTATCAGTCCTATATCTCCCAATGTAACTTCAAAAGTATATATCCGTGTATGTAAAGTATTCAGTCCTATATCTCCCAATGTAACTTCAAAAGTATATATCCGTGTATGTAGAGTATTCAGCTGACGAGTTCTACCAGAAATGGCGGAATTTAACCTTAGGCTGTGTAGTCAATCATTTGACGGTCTATGTGTTGGTTCTATTTTGTGATATTATTATTATTGTTTCCTTTAATTCCTTGTGGAACATAGGGCTTCAGCCGTGCGTCTCCATTGCGTTCTGTTCTCTGCTAGAGTCTTCACCTCGTTCCAAGTCTCCCCACACGTTTTCATCTCCTCTTCACATGACCTCCTCCAAGTCACCCTCGCACTGACGACCAACTCGCCGCTTCCCATTCTGTCGGGCTCCACTCGAACGATGGCTTGTCTAGTGATGTCACTTGATGGTTTGTTTTTTCAAAGTATGGCCAATCCATCTCCATTTCTTCCTGCCTATTTATTTCACAATCGGTTCCTGGTTGGTTCGCTCATTGCCAGAGATCCCTGTTGCTGGTCTTTTCTGACCGGCCATCTGATCTTGAGTATTGAGCGAAGACAACTGTTAATAAAGGTTTGTAGTTTGTTTGATGTGCTCTTTATGACGCTCAGTGCAAGTCTCTGATCCGTACAGCAAGCAGCACTGACTTCACATTGGAGTTGAAAATCCGGATGTTATTTTTGACGCTGAGTGCTGTTTACCTCCACACAGACTTGAGAGTAGTGAAAGCTTGTCTTGCTTTTCCGATTCTTGCTTTGATATCCTCGTCAGTTCCGCCTTTAGTTGAAAGGATGCTTCCCAGGTAGGTAAAAGATGTTGTCTCTTTCAGGTTCCTCCCATTTTTGCTGATCGTTGCCTGTTGTTGTTGTTCTTGTCCAGGTATCTTCATTACCTCTATTTTCTCTATGTTCACCTGAAGTCCTATCTTCAGGTGAACTTAGAGAGTGATATAGTAGGTATTTAGCTTCATGGATTTTTTTATGCGATTGCACTGGCTTTTCCTTTAACTATTTCACTGTCATGTGGTGTTGGTTTTAGTAGAAAAGATATTTGAGTTTTCACCAGAAATCAGTCTAGATTCATGGACATTAGGACAGATTTTGGTGTGGTTGTGTTCTCTGAGCTGGATGGTTTGGTTAGGACAGAATTACAAAAGACCCATTATCAATCTTGTCGAATTATAATATAGCGAAAAGGTTCATTCTTGTGCTGGAAGTGTCAGTGAGTCGTAGGGAGATCAAATACTTCGTCATAATTAGATGTGGGAGGAGTACTTATAGTGGAAGACGATTCTGGAATGATTCAAAAAGGAGGAAATAAGCAAGATGACTAACAATCAAATTTAAACCTTTCAGAAATTGTATGTTTTAAGTTGAATCAAGGATTAACATCAGTTAAAGAACCGTTAAAACCCATGGAGTTCTTGATGGCAGTTTTGTTCTACTTTCAGACGGTTTAACAGTATGCAACCACCGGTATTCGAACTAATGAGCGTTCCGGTCACAAGACAAGCCTGTAGACCATTGGGATCGGGTCCATTGGCTCATGTATTTTGACTTCTATCACTTCGGGATTTTATCGCGACTGGTACTAGTCAATTGTCCTCACTCCCGGCCGATGGGACTCCACGGGTCACGACTTCCCGCTGGAACTCTAGTCAATTTTTTCCTGTGGCCAGTCACTAGCATCAGACTAAATTTCAACAGATAGTGTTCCGGGACTTCGTTTGTTTCAAGTTTGACAATGAGTCCACCAAATTGGGAATGAGGAGGAATATTTGCCGATGACATTGGCTGATGCCAGTCATGCTTAATTCACGAATTGGTAGGAGTTGAAGTTCATAGGCCTTTGGCTCGGGTCCCAGTTTCTGAATGGTCAACTAGCTTGACCTGGTAACCTGAAGGTCTTAGGTTCGATCGCTGATGTAGTGGGTCGTGGGTGTAAAGGGAATGTCAAGGAAATACATTTCACTGATCAAGGCGCTCTACTTGAACTCATGCAGCCAGGTGAGAGCTTACGGCAAGTTGTCATCTGAAGTGGTGACAACTAGTGGTGTCCGTCAGGGATGCCCATTTCTGTTTAATTTCACCATAGATGTACTAATGGACTTAACCCTAACTCACTTCAGAGACTCAGGGATTGACTTGTTACTACGGAATAATCTCGTTGGCTTAGAATATGTAGATGATATAGTCCTTCTAGGTGAGGACGCTGACAAAATAGAACAGAGTCTTCTGAACACCTTGAGCTGCAATCTACGAATGTTTGGTATGCCATTCGCTCCCGCCAAATGTAAGATGATGTTACAAGACTAGACTGGACTATGTTGACTTCTAGCATAGAAATAGGGAGTGAAGTAGTAGAGCCTGTTGATCACTTCACTTATATGGGAAGTTGCATCACCCCCAACGGGTTGGTCGCTGACGAAACCTCAGCACAAATTATGAAGGCTCGTTTCGCATATGCCAGATTACGCCGTCTCTGGCGTAGATGTGATATCCGGCTGGCTATCTGCCAAAGGACGAGTGTACTACTCAAAAGCAGTCCGCTCCGCCCTCCTCTATGACTGTGAGACCTGGTCATTGGAATTGGAAGACATGAAAAGATTAGCTGCCTTTGATCAGAGGTGCCTGTGTTCTATCTCCCATGTGAAGTGGTATAATAAGGTGAGCAATGTTGAGGTGAGGCATCAGTTGAGTGCTAGGTAAGGAGGGGAAATCAGACGACGAGGCTGTGAAGCTACATCGACTGAGATGGCTACAACGTGTGTTACGTATATCTAGTCACCGCCCTCCTCGACGGGCAATGTTAGCTGATATAGGTTCAGGCTGGAAAAGAGCTAGCAGCTGTCAAACCAAAACATGGCCTCATCAGTCAATGAAATCCACAACAGTTAGTTTAAGCTGACCACGTAGGAAGGTGTAGACTTCCTGGTTGGGGTCCTCGGGACGGTAAAAATCAATGGCTGGAGACAGTTGGTCATATGGCTCAAAGTGATTGTTCTCAATAGCTGGCACAGATGCCTCCACTCCTTGTGACTTATAATTTCCAATGAAACTATATTGTTCTTCGTTATTCTTATTCCTTTTGCCTCATATCTCTGTTTACTGTCTTTATTTTGCAATTCTTTTTACTTCCTCCTCTTGCTTTGTGTGCTATATGGAGTGTGGCGACTCGTACTGCTGCACATCTGTGCAAAGCACTATGTCGAAATCAGTCAGTCATGGTCGTGGGTGCGTACTGGTGAAGAGTCCCAAGCTCTAGGGCAAAGCATCTGTGTAGTACTCCCAGGTTTTCAGTGGTTCTCTACATAAAGTCAAACTTGAAACAAACCAAATCCCCCCAAAAAAACCCTTAAAATTTGTGTTTTTATTATTAAAAAGTAAAATACTTATTACATCGAATTATGCATAAAGTAATACATATACCTAGGCAGTATCGTTTCAACTATATGCGGCAGAGATTAGGATGTAAAAAGGCGAGGCCTACTTTCACCAACAGTTGCTTCCTCTGGTTCAATACTGAACATCTAATGGCTAGAAAGCATAAGCAAAAAAGAAGTCTGGCAAGGAACTAACCAAGAACCTCAATGAATATACAGAAGAAAATGGAGATGGATTAGACAAACGCTCCAAGCCCTCATTTGAGACCCGAATAGGAGATAACCAGTTGGGTGTGCGTTTGAGGGTAACATTTAAGAAGGAGGAGATGACAGTTTATGGAAAATCGTCGATCCGCCTGAAGAGGACAGGAGAGAACAGGATGAAGTGGAGGAGATGTACTGTTGAATGACTAAAATATGTCATACATCTTGGTCACGTGCTCCCTGGATCGATACACATGTCTACTTTAAAAATAATTAAGTATTATTAATTATTATTTTTTTTTAGTGAGCAGCGAATATTTCGCCTCATATTCATAAAAGAAACAATTTAGATAGGAAAAATACGAATCGAATAGTATATAAACAAAACAAGACATAAACAGGAAAAAAACAAAAATGGCAAGGATAACTGTCGATGATATACATAAGCAGATTAGTATGACAGAACAAATCATGAAAGAGGAGACAACAGCTTTAAATTTCTTTCTAAATAATATGGATAAGTATTTAGCGAAATCAGGTGTCTCTGCAGTGCTGAGAAAACGTTTAGAAGAAATGCATATTGACAATGAACGTTGTTATAAATTGTTAAAAGAAGCTGAACAACGTGCAAAAGACAAGAGAATAGAAGAAGAACAAAAAAGGCAACAAAGACAAGGTGTATTAATGTCAGATGAAGAGTTATCGAGAGAACTTGATATGCGACCTGCTTCACCACCAACTAAAGCATTACTTTATGAAGGGACTTCACATGAAGGTAAAGGCAGGTGAGTGTTTAAGATGTAGGGTGGCTAGATAGGGTATTGTAAAGTGAAGTGTTAGTTGATTGTCCAATCCATTATAACTCTCAGCATTAAGGTAATTTTATTATCTTTTGGCTGAAGAGAGTAGGTATTTCTGTAATCCCTGGTGACTATGTTATTAGGCCGAATAGTCGGCGTTAATGCTTACATTAGTGGTTGTTGTGTGTGAAGATCCACTTTCACCATGAAGGTATAAACTGAAGCAACCACTACTGTTTATTTCATATCCGTTTGATCAGGTAACTATTCTAAAGATATCTATCCCATTGTAATGGTAGAATATAAGAGAAATGGGAAGGGGCTATGTTTATTAAGGAAAAACGCATCGTATTTATACATTTTTAACCACATTAAAAGTCAGCTAGGTCTGTAGACAACAGACTGTTCTGAATGGTTGGCTGCTGAGCCAAGGTTAAACAACTGGACAAAAAGTTGCCCAGTAAAACTTTTTCATGGCCACAACGTAAACTAAATCCAGATTTGAGGAATAAACAGTTCTACCTCTGCAGCCATTGACTAAAAATGCTGATTTCAATCTTTTGGCCGCTTCCTATCAATCTGCATCCATGTAGCACACGTCACGCCATTAATAAAGATGTAAACAGAAAAGAATACCGACATCTCATCTGTAGAATGCTTCAATGAATTGAATTGTTCCGCCTTTCTCAGTTTTATTGGATGGAGGATTTCATCGTGAGCTAACATCAGTTAGAGAACCATTGGAAAACCTGCAGGGAGTACTGGACAGCTGTTTCGTCAGACTAGTTTGGGACTCCTCATCAGTACGCACCCACCGCCAAGGTTCGAACCCAGGACCTTCTGGTTACAAGGCTAGCGAGCTCGTAGACCATTCAGCCACTGGGAACCCGATCCAATGGCCAGTCCATGAATTCTGACTTCTGCCAACTGACGACATAGCGCAACCATTTCACAATGTTTTCTTCGATGAGTTACTGCCTCATCTTCAACTTGCTGTACCCTACTCAGTTTTGTTGTTGAATTTTTGAATCGAATCATAATTATAGTTTTTCCTAACCTTCAGTCATTATTCAACTTGCATTAAGATTAGTATTCCAACTAGGATTATTTGACGTCATCTAATCATAAATTAATCCGTTCCTTCTTTCTGAGTAACGTAAGATCTGGTCGACATTTATATATGTATCGTTCATT